GAGACCGCGGTCGCTGTAGGTTTTCCTGCCCTCGGCACGAAGCAAAGCTTCCCCTTTGGGAATCGGAGCAGCGCTGTTCCCATTTAACACGACTCCCCGCAAGCCGCAGCCCCGGAGGGAGCGTGGGCAGGACCTCGCTGCCGGGGCAAGAGAAAGGCAATACTCACGTTTACTATTTCAAGCTCCCAGAGGTTTTTCACAGTGTCAATCGAGCTGTAGCCACTCGATAGGAAGGACTGAATGTAATCCTGCAGCCCCAAAGAGTCGAGCCATGCGGGAACCGAAGGCTGGCTGTTCCCATCGCAGCCCAGGGGTTTCAACTGGAAAAGCACAAGCCAGAAAAAAGGGGTTAAAAGCCCCGAGGGACTGGGATCCCAAGGCACACAGCATCAATTAAAATCAGTTTAGAGGCCATCATCATCTCCACTAGCAGCTTTAAAGTGAAAAAATCCATTGTATAAACAGGGAATGCACTTGGGGGGAGGGGGTCAAGACCGGCAGGAGGGACACCCACCCTCTCCTCATTACGGAGTCATCCCCTCCACACAGCTTGGCAGACCAATATACTCCTCCTCCTCCTCCCTGCTATTCCCAAACCCCTTCCTACAGTTCCTGCGATTCCTCCGTGGGTCACAGGGACGTGGCTGGAGTCACAGGGTTTGGCTTTTGTTTTCTCTGCTTTCACAGCCGTGCTGGGCAATGCCCCGTCCCTGCTTCACGTGAGGGGTGTCGGTGCTGACCTTCGGGAGGGAGCGCGCAGCCTGGAGGAGCTTCCGACGGTGCTGCGGGTCACCGATCCCGATGTCCCGAAGGTCCTGGTCTTCCATGACATTACAGCCCTGCGGGGAGAGGAAGGAACGACGTGGGAGCAGAGGGCAACAGAAGCCACAGCCGGTGCAGGAGCGGAGGTTACAGCACCCTCCTGACCTCACCTCCCTGCACGTCCCCACGGCAGGAGGAGGAGGAGGAGGAGGAGGAAGGCTCCCAAGGATGGCAGCTCTTCCCCATGTACCAACCTCAGGCACCGAGAGGGCCGACAG